GATTATATTGAAAACAGTTAAAAAATAAATTCTAAAGAACTAAACTAATGCGTAGTAGAGGACGTAAAATACTTTTCTTGTTTTGTTAGTTTCTGTTTTTAATTTTAATTATTTTACTCAGCTAATTAAGTATTTTTTTACATATATACATTTTTAATGGAAGCATATATTTCAGTTCATAAAGACAAAGACTAAATTCTGAATATGTAATGAAAATAACATTAAATAATTATTATACTATGTTAATTTTTTGTATATTATGCTAATTAATTATATAAAAATTGTCAATATTACAGTAACATGAAAAATTATGTTCGGAGTAAACACTAATTTGGAATTTGAAAAAGTGTAAATACAATCAACGCAAAATGCTTAGTATTTATATTAATTTCCATACATACTTCTTCGGAAAAATGCACATGATAATGAAATTTTCCCTATTTCACATGATGATTTTAAATATCCATGATAATCAAAAAACTTTTGCATTGTAAAAATTTCGTCCATAACTTTCCTTTAAAATTATTTTAAAGATAAAAGATAAACCATTTGAAAAAAAAATGATTTTATTAATTACAGATATTTTCAACTTATATTTTAGACTTTAAGAAATCTATTGGATTCCCTTATAACTTTTCAATTTAAAAATTAGAATCCATCGCAGATTTAATTCAGCAACTTTTTATTTGGAAAAACAAAAGTAGGACCAAGTGAAATAACAACGACGCTTTGCATTATAAATAGCAAAGTTCTGTCAGAATGTATACAATTGCGTTCCGAAAATAAAATCATAGTTATGCGGCAAACCGTTACTGTTCCGTATCAAGAATCCCTAGAACATTTTTTTTGCAGAATCTTTTAGGAAAATTGCTGCGAAAATGCTTCTTCAGTTGCTTTTATAACAAAATGCAGATGGCAACGAAAAAAAGTTTTTTCTCTTTCAGAAACTTATGATGAGGGGTTGAATCACGTACTAAGACGTAATTTTTAGGTTCAACGGGAGCAATTTAAATATGCTAATTAATTTTAACAGACAATTAAAAAAAACGAATAAGAAAAATCCTTAGAGTAAAAAAAAACACATTTATTTTTCATTTATGGATATGGATTCTTACGTTCTCAAAAAATAAGTAGATTAAAAAAAAAGTGGCTCATATAGAAGATTTTATTCGACGCGTTTCTTGTCCGAGTAACAGTGAGAAGTAAAAATGATCGAAACTATAAAACGTTTTCCTTAAAAAAACATTTCCACAAAAGTTACTTGTCAGTGCTTGTTTTTAATGATTTTGTTTGAAAACGCGCAAAACAATTTCAAATTTAATGGTTTTTAAATCATGATATTACTTGCAATAATCTACGTATATTTAAATGCGAAATTTAAAATTTGGAGTAAATTGATTTTCAATTCCATAAAAAAACAATAAAATAAAAAACATTTTTTTGAATTTTTAGTGCTTGGAACTATTTAAGCGATATATTACAAAAGTTTATTTATTTATTCACTTGAAATTTCACAATTTAGTATGACGTGCAAACATTTATAAATTTATACCCAAATTATATATTTATTTCTAAATTCAAAGTTTATATTTCAAAATGCGTTTAGTTAATATAGTTTGTTATTTGGTTTCAGATATTGAAATTACGCTAAAGTAAAAGTGCATCACTAATTTTAACAATTCTTAGAACAGAACTAGTTCAATTAAAGTTTCATAAACTAGACTTCAAATTAATCTTATAGAATTCTGCAGTTAATAATTGAATTGCATTAAATACAAGATGCTTGAAATAGAATACCTTCTAATTTGTCGCTAACTATAAATGATTAGGAAAGTAATGAAGTTGTATTGAAGGAAATTGTAGCGCCATCTATTGCAATTTGTATCAATAACAATTTAATTAAAGCCTTTAGAGAAGGAAGAAATGTAATGTTTCTTTAGAAATGTTATGTTAACGATATTTATTTTAAATCTTAATTAGATAATATTTTGTTGAAAGTTTGATAAATATTATCATCTATTGAAATTAAAATTTTATGTATAAACATTCATTTTGAATACGTTAATTATTTTTCTCTTTTATTATAAATGATAGAAAAGGAATCCACCTAAGTTCAAATTTAATGAATATTTTAGAATCAGTGGACTAATAAAGTGTAAAAAAAAGTTTAAATGGATTTTTGGGAAAAGAAACTACTATTTACTTATTTTTGTAAAACTTACTTTGATAATTTATAAAGGACAAATTTAGGAGTTTATTTCAAATTTAGATACAGAAAAAGGTTTTCCAGTTATATGATTAAGTAATACGAATGACGTACCTTATTGTTAACTATAAAATGCTTATTGCGCAAAAATTATTTAAGATTAATGTTTTTTTTAAAAAAAATAAGTGTGTTCTATTTATTCCTTCAACTACTTTTTTTACCTTCAACTGTGCTGTACAAGACTTTGGACTTTTCAATTTTGGTGAATTCAAAAACAATTTTAATAAAGTTTAATAATAATGTTTCCAAGATAACAAAAGTAATGGTTTTTTTTCAAATTTGCCTTCGCCTTTTCTGAAAATGCATTTCAACTACCTATATTTTAAATATGCCGTCTGAATTTTTCGAAATTTTTATTTTAAATTTTTAGAAAATAATTTTAAATGTTAAGTAGATGTAAGAAGCTTAACAAAATATGGTACGTAAGACATGCAATACTGCAGTGCAAATAAGAAATCAAAAAATAAAAATAAGTTACCTATTTTTTTATAAATATACAAAAAATATTTATACAAAAATGATTTATTGAATCATTTATAATGGCATTTTTATGTGATTAGCATTATATTGCCAAAAAAATTTCTTTTTAAAAAATAAATTCTTAGTCAGTATTCTGAATTTTTATTTTAGCTTAGATAGCAACGATAAGGCAGGCAAGGGAAATAGTTTTTAATAATAGTTTAGAGCATTTTTATCGAAAGATATGGTTAAGCACAGATTGGTTTTTCAATTGCACAGCAGATTACGATGGAGCAAATGAAACGAAAATGCTCAAATAGAAAGCTGGTATTTTTCAAAAGTTTTTGAGGTGGTTTTAAGCAAAGTGAATTATGAAATCTAAAAAGTAATGTATTTAAAATGTACAAACAGCTAAAAAGTCAGTTAAATAAAAAAATGAAAATCTATGTTATTAAAGCTGGATGTTTATTGTGTGTGTGTGAATTCGTGTACGTACCTCATATAAATCCACAATTCAGAACCAATCCACATCAAATTTTGTGTAAATAAGTTAGAAGACGCGAAGTAACTGTTTTCTTATAAATCCTCTCTAACCACCGGTTCACTGGCTACTTGCCAAAGCAAGGGCTTTCTATATGATTTGACTAATATTTTAAAATATGAGTGATTTGTTAGCTTACAGCTCTAATTAATCAAATTCCCCTCTGCAGAGGATCAAAATTGTGATGGCATGTCTTCGGATCATCCTCAGGGATGTTTCCCAGACCGTCGCCAATAGCCCATTGTGCAGCTCCAGTGCGACGCAAATGAACAACAACAACAATTAATCAAAAATTAATTTTATTCATGAACTTAAGGACAATCCACTCTGCCATAATCATGACGTGTTTCTTGAAGTTCCTCCTGGAAAAATTGTTTATAGTGCCTTCTAGCAGCACTTAAACGGAAAAACTTAAGTGATTCAATGGATGTGAATAGTTGCTAATCTATGGTACATTATGTTGTATATTTCTCATATTTATTTTTTTATATTTACTTTAGTACGATTATATTTGTTTCATTCCACTTAAAATTATTAATTAAGATTGGAGTGCGATAATTAATGTTAGTTTTAGAAAATATTTTCATAATGTGCATTTATGCCAAAACATAAAATTTTTTTATCAACTCTAAATATTTTATTTTGCATTTTAGTTCTATGATTCGTAAAATGTATTTTTTCCGAATTTTTGTTTACTTCTGTGTATCACTGTTCTTTCATATTATAAATTCTACTACAAATGGAGAAAAAAAAATAGTCTACATTAATAGCGCTTTTCTGTATTTATTTTTTTATTAATTTAAAAGGATTAATGGTGCATTTCATCCAGGTTAATATGTATTAAATTCAACAGTGAAATAAATATAAGAACAAGAATAATGATGAAAATTAAAATATTTAAAATAATTTTTTACTTTATAAGATTTATAGAAGTAAAACAAAGCAAACATCAATAAAACTGATAGTTAAACTTTTCGCCGCAGTGTGGAGCTGAAACTGTTTTGGGCAGACTGTTGCCATTTTTAGGAATTTTTTTCTTTGGTTCAATTATTTATGTTAGGTTATTAGATGTAAATTCAACGCTAATAAATTCTCAACATACGGTAATGACGTCACCGAACTGCTATTTTAAAAGGTATAGGAAACCGCATGATTCCTACATATATACTTACACTTTTAAAGTCCTTCTATAAACATTAACGAGGCTCAAATGCAGTCTTTTACTAAACATTTGTTGTAAATTCATATTAATTTATTTTTATAATTTTAAAAATTACATGTGTATTTGAATATGACTGACGTTTATTTTAAGTAAAATGAAATATTTAAACAGATTCAAAAACTCCATTTCACATCAAACGTAAAGATATATTTGAATTTTTCAGAACTATGCCTTTGAATTATCACGTACAAAACATTGAGACAATGAGAGCCTATAAATGGAATATCCTCAAAAATGTTCTTCAATTTACAGCAGGGTACTTTAGCTTGATAAATCAAATTACAACTCAAAAACGGTATTCGTATTTCAAAGAATTGAAAGAAAAAATAAATAAATGACTCCGGGGGGAAGAATTTAATGGCGTCACGTCGATGAAACTCACTTTGTAGCAAAAAGGGCGTGCTTTAAGTCACGAACGTGTCTTCATATTTTTCTAAATGATAAAAGACACGACTACTTTCTAACAAATAGTTTTTAAAAGACTACAAAGTGATAAGGAGAGCTTTACTTACCTTTCAATTAAAACAGGAGGTGAAAAATGAAACGTTATATTATCTCCTTGCATTGGCATGAAAGCCCAGAAGTAAGTGTCACCTTTGTACGCACGAGAAAGGGTGTGGTCTCCAAAAGTTTTCAAGGTTGTCCTCAGAACTGCTTTTGGATTGTGATGAGGGTAGTGTGTCAATGTTTTTCCAAATTGCTTATCCTGGAGGAAGAGAATATGGAAAAAATATATAATAACGCTCAAACAATTTTGAATAGCGAGAATGACAAAAAAAAAACATCTCATTTTTGCTTATGAATCAATTTGCGTCTAGAATTTTTTTTGGATGTTTCGAAATAGTATTGAGTATAATATACGGATATATTTGTCCCTAGAAAATTGCTGCTTTAGTAATACTCAAATACTCAAAGAACATATAAGACTATAAATAATAAAACATCATTGCAATTTGTTTCAAATGATGAAGTTTTGTGCTTACTCGCTGATGTTAGCCAAACTCCAGAAGCGTTCCCAGATTTTTACAAATAGTTTTAATGTCTGTGGTCAAATTGCTCACACAGTTTTCTCTAACTTTAAAATGTTTAATTTCATTTATATTTCAATTTATGTTTTTTAAGAGAAATCCCTTCTTTCTTGCCGTTAGTCTGATCAACTTAAATGAGGAACAATTCCATCGAAATTGCTGATGAACTTCTTTGTGAATAAGATTAGGTATTATTATGAGAGAGATCAATTAAAAATATATTAGAACTGTTTTATTTACAAAAAAAATTTCATCCAATTAAAGATAAACTGATGTTGTTTTTCTCACTAATGTTCAATGCTCGCACCATTAGTTATACATCATAAATTCTACCTATAGAATTTTTAGCCCACAATTTGGTTAACAAAGTCTAAATAATTATTGCATTTAACTTTTCAATTTTTTTTCTTAACTCTCGCAAATAATTAAAATAACCAAAAAAATTAATCCAAACATTCAATGGTTTCAAATAACCAGTACAATAATGGTTTTGAATAATAATAATAATAATCGATTTACGTTTTGGTCACAGAGTGTGATAAAAACTAAGCTTTAAACGGTACGCATGATTAACTGAAACTACAACTTCACACTTTGCTAATAGCAGAACACATGAGGGTCTCGATAGTAATTCGCTATTTTGTGTTTGAGATTCTCAATGCTGGAAAAACACAAAGTATACTCGATAACACTCTTACATAAAAGTGTTAGAGAAACTCATTAATTCGGACTTTAAATTAATACTTTAAAACGATTACAGTTGATTATTTTTTTAACTTATAACTGGAGCATACTTTTGTAGACGTACTGTACACAATGCATAAACCTACCGTTAGTTTTTGAACTTTGCCTTTCAAGGATGAATGCGTACCAACATGCTGAAATAAAGAAGGCCTATAGTGTATCCAAACATTGTCTTTTTGTTTTCTGCAATCTTTCTGCAACAGAAAAAAAAATTAAATTTCTTTCACAATTCACATCCTTTATAAAAAAAAAATTATTACTAGATAAATAATATATTAACAAAAAATATTTAATAAATTTGTCAATTATTGATGTTTCTACTATATGTTATAAATTTGTTTGAAATCATAAAAGTGACAAATCTCGTTTATAAAATAAGAATTTAAAATCTATATTTCAGTTAGTCAAACTTTACCTCATTGGTTTTTTTAATTTAAGATGTAATTTCTCATTTTATTTTATGTTAACTTTGAAATTAGTTTAAAAGCGTACCTGCATTCATTTCAAACTTTTCGGAAACACATTATTCTTCCTCACTAGATTAAAATTGAGGCTTAAGCAACGGTCTCAAAATTGCTCGTAAATCTTTTTAGGAAATTTTTCCGCTTGAATATCATGGGCATCCGTTTAAATTACCTATATGTGGCCAAAAATTAGCAGGTTAAGCAAAAATCTTTTAGAAATTATAGAATTGTAATGAAGCTTATGAAATAAATGCCATATTTTCTTACAATTCCTCATGGTGGAAGGGGAATGTTATGGCCCATTACTAAGTCTTCTATCCATATTTTTTTTAAAAATATATGTCAAACGTTTTTCTTTTTAACATGTGAACGAAATGTTTTTAATATCCAGAAATAGACTCATTGCCCAAACAATTTTCAAAGTTTAAAAGCTTTGTTTTTACCCATGGTCATTCATGGACCCACTTCATGATTTTTAAGAAAAATAGTTTTATTCTGTCCCCTGTTCTTTAAACCACATTAATCACTATTTGAAGCGATATCCATGGAATTACACAAAATACGATTTCTAACAAATATTAGAAAGGTCAGTTATAAAATAAAATTATTTTTATGAGAAAATGCGTATAAAATCTCACACTGTCAAAAATGTCTCGACAAAAAATGGTTAAATATCAGCTTAATTAATTCATATTTTACCATACTCAAACAAAACAGACAAATAATAATAAATAAGATGATATTTAAACTGCTGGCTTTGAAAAAAACCGTTTATGTACCGTTTTTTCATCTAATATGATTGAACAACCTGTATTTTATCGCAACAACTAGGCCCAGAAACTACTTAGTTCTTTGCAACTGGGTACATTTATGGAATATATCATTATATTATATATAAATATATCATATTATATTATACTACTGTCTTTTCTTAAAATTACTTATTTTTTAGGTAACATCATAACATCAGTCTAAATTGTTTATCCAAATCAATAAAAAAATTATGCTTTTTTTTCTTAATATAAATAAATAATTTTATCTTATAATGAATTTTGACTTCTTGGAGGAAAGTCGCATTAAAACAATTTATTAATTTTCCTACCTTTTTTAGTGATAATATAAAACATTTAGTCGAAGAAATATAGGTGAATAAAAAGCACTACTAGTGGAAAAATAAGTCCTTTAATTTGATGCATTAAATGTTAGATAAACCTAACAAGCAGCTTTAACATAATGCCATAAGCTTATTCATAATATTTCTATTAAGCAAAGATATTCACATGGAGTTGGAAACATATCACGTGCTTCTTACTTAGTTACACTACGATGAGCACAGATATAACTTCAGGGAGTTTTAAGCACTTTTCATGCCTATCTTATCCAGTTATTTTGAAACTTGCAATCTAATTCTTTCTAAGTTATTACATACTTTATATCTTCATTAAATGCAATGCCTGGAAGCTGCAAGTGTTCGATTTTCAGGAGAGATAAATATTTGTCTTTTGAGAATTATAGAATATTTTAATTATGAACATAATTTTAAAAGTTCTAAATGCTCTAGATATTAAAATTCTTGTAATAAACTTTAAAATCTCATTTTAAATTAAAATTTTATTGTTTTCTAGTAAGTTATTAATGATGTTTGATATTATTTTTATCAGTTATCATCATTACCCATCTTTAGCAATTTTAAATTACGTAATTTTTCACCGTCAGTGTCTTTAATAGAACAAAGTAAAATATTGAATATAGTAAAGTAAAATTTTAATAAAACTAGGTTATGCTAATATTTATTTAATGTTTCGATTTCGCACTCTAATCGTACATTAATTTCTGACTAGCACGCTATATGGAATAATTTTTTTTTTTTGCTTTCTTAAATCTCCCACGAGCATTTATCGTGTCTTTTTGCAATTGGCTATATTTTGACATAAAAAACAAATGCGAAAATAATATTTCAACAAAATTTAAAAAACAGACAACCAAAATTGTATTTGAAATTTATTTAAAGTTCTTTATTGCTCAAAACTTTTAAAATGAATTAAACGCATAAAAAGACACTAAGAAACAAATTTTTTGCTGCATTTATACAGGCATTTCATCTTGCCTAATTCGTGTGTGGGGATGCTTAATCTGAAAATTTCTTTCTGCTCTTAAAGTTAGAGATTTTTTGAAATTATATTTTTAGTCTATTTTTAATTGAAATGTAAGCGTTATATATAATGGAGATCGCGTAACTATCGCGACGAACTTTCAGGGGAGATAAGGCACATCATCAGAATCAAAGTTGCATAAAAAACCATGTCCAGAAGTTCCATAGTATTTTCTTTATATTTTATATCCGTCGTTGAACAGCTGACCCAATTTTTGGGTTCACGACTACTACGCCACGTACTATGTTCACCGCCGTGGCCTTGTAATTTTGAACCTATCCAGAAGACAAAGAAACTCCTGGATCAGTACCCCCACAGTTATTGGTTTGTTATGGGAACATGGAGAACTTTGCGACTCGACAGATTTAGCGTGCATCAGTTACTATTTACTACAAGGGGAGCTTTCGGCCGGCGGGGATCGAACCCGCGAACTCTTGGACATGGGCCCAGCCCCCTATCTACCAGGCTATCCCGGCCTAAGTTCCATAGTATGCGACTAGGGGCTCTTTCTCATTAAGACCTGTTCAGAAACAGCTTAAAATAGGGGAGGCACTCCTAGCGGCGTATGATGACATTTACGTGCATGGGTTCCTATGCAGAATCAGTCTTGAAAATGTGTTTTAACTCCTTTAGAAGTTTTTTGCACCATTTATGCGAAAATCTGCTATGTATAACGTTTTAAAACTTGTACATTTCCATAAAGAAATAGACTAAAAATGTCATCGGAAAAGTTAAAAACTGTAGCTTGGAGAGAGAAATTGATTGGAGATTTGAAATCTGTGACGTAAAATATCCAAGGTCTGTCAAAAATAAAATTCAAAAAATAATAAGCAATAGAAAATAATAACAATAGAAAACAAAAAAATGAATGTCCTCAGTGTTATTTTCTATTTTGTATATTAGATACATTGAATGTTCATTTGTGGAATGTTTAGCTTATTTTTATCAATTTAGCCAGGAGGTTGAGTTTGTTGCTAGTTTTAATCTTTTCAGTGGCAATTAAATAAAGCGCAATAATCAGACTTTATCTTAGATCTTTAGACATATCAAAACTCACATTCAGTTAAGAAAATAAGTAGTTAAAGCTAAATATAAATATTGGATTTACATTTTATACATACACTGTCTCGATCAAAGCGGCAAACTTTCGTTTGTATCATGTGGTCAAGCAGCCAATCCACTGGCTTATCGTTGTGAAATATGGCGAAAAACGTTACAAGCTTTGACAAATCCACAGCCTTAAACATCTTACCTGAAAGAATAATGACCACCTTACGATTTACATACTTAAATTATCTAAATTCCAATATAAAAAGATCGAAAGTATATAAGTTATGAAACTTGTTTCAATAATAATAAAATTTTTATAGAATATATTATTACCAGCAAAGTTGAACTTTCATCTTTGGAACTTTTCCTTATTTAAGCGTGTGTGTTATCTCCGTTATTTTAGAGAGTATATTTAGGATACAGTTAGGAATTCCGATCTACTTTCGTAAACTGTGTTTTCACTTAGAATTAATTTGTGTTACTTAAAAATCATTTTTATATGGGATAGTTAAATTACTACATTATTATTACCAAGCAATGTTAAATAAAAGCAACTCATAAGAAATGTTAGATTAAATGTTACACTTTTAAATGCATAAAGCCACCGCTTATTGTTGGCAATGTTTATATTGTCATTCATCTTAAAGTAAAAATTATTACAATTACAGTATTTCTCAAGATATTGAATGTCTTAACGAAAAGATGAAATAATGTTCCACTGTATAAAATTTTTGCTTTTACGCAGGTATTAAAATCTATTTTAATAGGTCGTAACTTATGATTAATTTATATTTATTTGGTTTTATTTTTGCTGCAAAAATATTTGTTAATAAACGAACATTCTAAGATTACATCATGAAGACAAAAAAAAATGTAAAATGAAGTTTCCCACGGGAAATATTCCATTAGATTTTATACTTTAAACCATCGTAAAAGCTGCCGCTTAATCCGGATAATGTTGATATTGTCATTACTTTTACAGTAAACATAACATTAAGTCTTAAAATATTGAAAGGCTTAAAAGACGAAAAGATTGAATATTTAAAGTTTTGCTACATAATCCTTTAAAGTGACTTTTTTCATCCTTTTAAAAGTTCCCAAAGTAGAACGAGAAATTCCTTTAAGTTTACGAAGGCTATCTTAAGAGAACAGTTTTCCCGAACTCTGTCGCAATTCTCTTTTTTTCCCGTTTCCATGCATCGGACGATTAAGAAGAGAGAAAAGAGATTCTATCATCTGATTTTCCTGAAGACAGCCCCATTTCCAGCTAAAAGGGGAACTTTGAGAATCTTCTTTGGCTACCGCTAGAGCATTCAAAACGTGTATAATTCAAACCTTGAAATTGGAAAAGAGAATTTTATACTTGGCGAGGCGATCGATATTTCGGGGATTCTGTCTAGGGAAGAGGGGAGAGAAAACAGAGAATAAAAGAATATGAAGGGGGGCTTACCTATAAAACCTAGTTGGCAAAAGTCCAGAATGATCCAGTCTTTGTTCTCTCTTAGTTTCTTGAAGGCAAAGTTTTTCATGATCGTCAAGTAATGCGGTTTAGTCAAAATATCGTCTTCCATCTGAATAATGTATTGAAATAAGGCAATCAGCAAATCATCACATTTCGAAATCAAGAGTTTTGAAATGTTTGATGATGGGTATTTGAATTGTAACTTGTGAAATAAAAAGAATGTAGTATCATAAAATAAGTATTTTTATTTACTTTTTACTAATTATTTGTAATTCATCCACATTACAAATATTTAAACTTAGTAGAAATTTTCGCATCGAATTTTTATCGTGAAAAAAAGTTTCAACTGGATCTATTGTATACAGAAAAAAGGACTAAAAAAATGCATTTACTTTTCTTCTCAACTTTGTTGGAAACGAATTACTCTAAAAAATATAACTAAGGGGAGCTGTTCCATATTTTTGACCCAATCGCCTTTTGTCTCTGTGTAATATTTACCATACCTCCTACACCTCGTTTTATATTTTATTGAAAATACCAAAAAATATACTTATATTTCAGGAAAGAAGTACTACATAATAAACGGTAAATTTAAATTTTAGCTTTAAGCTAAAGAAAAATTGTAAACAGCTTTTTGAATTTAAACTTTTAAGCTGAATTTTTCTTAAACCTAGATCAGCATCGATGCTCAAAATAAAATCAACAGAAGAAAGCAGTAATTTTTGACTTTTTTAAATAAAAGTAAGGTAAAAATATCTGTAATATTTGATTCTGTTGATTTTAAGTGTTTTCATTCTTATCAAAATGTGTTGTATTACACTTGTTGTTATCCCCTTCTTTTCGCTTCTCACGAACAGCCACAACTTCACGACTCCTTCCTCTTTCTCTAAGTGTGACAACATTTCTGGAAGGCCCCTGAATTGATATATGTAGTCAATTGAAATTTAGTTGAAAACTAAAGTGAGACACTAAAAGTATTCGGGACTGCATATCTTCAAAATAAATAATCCATCCGACTAAATAATAGTTTTATAGATTATAATAAGCTTTAAATAGCACGCATTTTTAACATAACAGTTTTCAAACGATTCCAATTTCATTGAAAAAGAAGGTAAATATACGCTATAAATGTAAGACTTTTTTAAAATTTGCTTTCTTAAGAACTATTCGTTATATACTCGAACTATTCGTTCGACATATGTCGTTAAAATTTTGTATTTCATCATATTTACCTTCGTGTTTTTATTTATTTATTTATTTTTTTGAAAATTTGGAGAATTAGCTCTCTTCAAAATCAATGGTTTGAGGCAGGAGTGAACCTAAACTGGATTTGTCTACTTTTTTTTTCTTTTTTACAATTGACAGTTTAAGGGGAGTCCATCTTTTTCGATATACTCTTTCTAAAAAACAACTTATGATATCACCCTGAAATTTTTTTGTGATATTTCAGATTCTATCAGTTGGTTGATGTGATGACGTTTCAGCATTAACATGAATACGTTTTGAGTTATAAAATATTTTTGTTTCGAAACCTTTTAAAAATATAAAAGTTCTCAGTTCATAATTTTTTTTAAAAACTTTCTGCCGCAGATATGTATTAACAGTTATCGCAATGTAAATATATAACAAATATGTGAAAAAATTTAAATAATGCATTGCTTAGATGCTTATAAAAGGTAAATCGAAATAGGTCAGTTTTAGCATTACTGGTATATACCTTACCTTAGACCAAAAACAGAGGACCCATTTATATCAGTCAACCTGCAACTCCATAATATTCTATAATTTGTAATCCAACCCAAAAGAAAAAAACTCTTTAATCAAGTATTAGTCAAAATAGCCTTCATGAAGGACTTTGTGATATAATCACGTCAGCACTGTGGTCAGTGTTATACGAGAGCAGAATTTGAATCAACCAGCCACCGCTGGGACTAGAACCTGATTGACTTCATTAGAAGGTGATCACTCTATCCCTTTTAACCACCACGAATCACCGTAACCTTATTTTATTTTACAACTGGTGGCGTTGAATAACCGACTACCATCTGAGTTTCCTACTTTCAATATTCAACTTCGCAGTCTTGTAATTTTGAATAGATCCCAGCAGAAAAAGGAGCTCTTCGATCAATCATAAGCCTTCTTGGAGGACTAATTAGCCTTCCTGAAGGATCTTCTGATGGAACTATCTCTAAGTTCTGTTCATGGTGAGAAAGGCAAACGGAAATCTCTCATGGGTAGCCGGAAGGAAAGGGTATTTTAAACCACGATCCGTCTACCTTTGAAGATAAATTCCTTAAATACTCTATCCAATTCAATGCATCGTGAAGGGTTGATTCCTCTATATGTAACGCAAATGCGGGTTGTTTTATTAAAAAAAGTCCTCCAAGTAGACAAAATTTCTACCAATACTTAATCCAGTAGTTCCCTTGTCATCTGGATTGGGTACAAAATTACAAGGCTACGGAGCAGAACATTGGAAATCGTAAAGGCGAAATCGTTTCGACTGTTTATCGACGGTTATAAATTAAAATTTAAAATTTGAATAAATACAAAAAGCACTATTTTATAAAGTAAACAGCTTTTAGGAAAAAATTAACATTCATTGTCATTACCGAAAACTTGTTTAATTTTATAAATGATTGGTATATTTTAATTGGTATAAAAATTTTTTAGGTAAATCTTCTTATAGTGTTTAATGTAAATTATCTAAATTTCACGTTTTACCATATTTTAATAGTTCAAGTAATTAGATTCAGCTAACTTACTTGAACGTAAAAGGTTCCTTTAGCCTGGGCGTACATCATTAGGTAAGCGTAATCTAAGTTTTGCTTTGTTCTCCATCTGAAACAATAGATAATTCCACAAATTATATTACAATCAATTAGCCATAAGAAAATTGTAATGATTCAAATTTTGAAATGGAAACTGCAAATAATGCAACAAAATAAAACGAGATATATAATTTACAAAGATAATCAACGTCAGAGCTGCAAAGTTTTGAGACTAAATAAGATTTCATTTGAAAACACAAAACTTCACAACATTTTTTACCAAAATATTCAAGCATGCTTTAAACTTAAATGAAATTAAACAATATACTTAGTAAAAACACGAATTAAACTAATAATAAGTATAAAAAAATCAGTGATCAATGCTTGAATGTTAATAACTACAGTGTTTATTTATTTATTTTAACAAATGGCATGGAAAATTTTAACTTATATACATTCTGAGAAAAATAATTTGTACGTTGAGCCATATAATTGTCCAGAGAGAGTTAGGGAGCTTTATATAGTGGCCCCAAAATGACACATCATGACATACTAATTTCTAATTTCAATGGTACAATAGGTTGCAATTTTGAAAGTATGATTCCAATAGCTTAGACAGGAAATTGGAAATTTTGAGTTCATTTTTTCTCATTTCGCTATATCTTAACTTTTATGCATTTGCAATGTATGTTATGGTGTGGCCACAATATGAAGCTTCTTAGCTCTCCTTGGACTGGTATGTATAGTGCACCAAAGAACGGACCACCATGAATAACCTTTGAGCCAATGATCGGATCTTAACGTTTTAGGACTCAAACTCAAAGATTCAAGGGGGTGACCTCAAATATGCGAATTAATTTTACTTTTCGCCTATTTTGCCATATCTAGAGAACTTATAAAGAGAATTGACGAATTTTTGCACACAATTATAAAATTTGTTTATCCGAAGATAATGAAATGCAAAAAAATACAGTTTAGTAAATATTTATTATTTTTCATTATTTTATTTAATAATAGTCGCAAAAATTTGAATGGTATCATATACAGTTTTTAAAATAATTTTAAAGTATACAATATGACATGGCAAAATACAAAACTTGAGCGAAGTCGTTCGAATAGTTCCTGAGAAACCGAATTTCAAATAACTGACTTTTTTAGAAATTTAATTTCTCAGAAACTATTCAGCCGATTTCGATCAAATTTTGTATTTTGCCTAAGAAAATTGCATATTTTAAAATGATGTAAAAAATGTATACCTGACAGTTCAAAATTGTTTCTACTATTATTAAATGAAATAATAAATATTTACTAAAATTTATTTTTGCAGGGAAGTATCTTTGGATAAACGATTTTTATAATTATGTGCAAAAAAGGTTTAAATTCGTTAGGGAAATTTTAGATATATCGCGAAATACGCAAAAAGTAAAATTAACATTATGGAGGCCAAACTTGGGATCACCCTCCTGACAAAATTATCGGGAAAATGTTTTGCAAATTGCCACTACCCCCAATATTTTGGAGGTCATCTATCCGAATCCGTCAAAAAAGGCATGTTTATTTAGAGAAGATGCGTTTTTGTATCGGATTATGTAACTTAAATATCGTCTGCACTAATTGATTAGCATGTTTGAGGTTAACATTCTCGAACAGTTAAGTTTGAGTCCTAAACGTGAAGATCTGATCATTAGAACAAAAGTTATTCCTGGTGGTCCTTTTTTAATTTGTATTTTGAAGTACTGTACAACTATGATGGTTTGAACATCGTACTAGGAATTCGGATTTCCTTGGCTCAAATCCTGCCGGCAGTCAGCATTTGAGCAAAGGAGCGAGCCTCTCACCCATTTCTTCATCCTCCTGCATTTTGTATAAAAAAGGCTATATGCTGTATCAATTTTAAACACAAGGGAATTTCAAGTTCGATTATCATTTGCTTCGGAGCTGTTTTAAATTTTACTGCGTGAACAAAATTTAAAATTTTAATACAAAAATAATAATTACTATTGATAAAATCTGACCTCATATTAGGTTCTTGAAAGTTTGTTCTGTATGTTTTCAAAATTTATAATGAATGCAAAAAATTACCTCACTCTTTCTACGGTGTCACCAAGGGTGTTGCGTAAGCTCTTAAAATCAGGATAGTATGCTTCTGGTGGAGCTATTACCTCCAATAAACCAGAATCTAAATGTTTCTGAAACCTGTAAATTATAATTAATTAACACTAACATAAATAGTAAGCAAGTAATACAAATATACTTATGTACAATATATTTAGATTGAGACAATTGTTTTACAGTATATTGCTCTTAACTCAATGTTTATTTGACACATTAACCTCAATATTTATTGGACACATTGGACACATTAACACTATTACCTGATATTGTAACTTGCTATGTAGTTATTTTTTACAAGTGCGAATAAAAAATATTTATTTAAATATATTATTAATTTTCCTATAAAATTAACAATATAATTTTTCAATTAGTGTTTTTTCTCTACAAAATTAACAATAAAAATTTATAATTAAATAATTTAACAAAGTCTTAGAATAAAATCCTTAATAATACATTTACATATTTGCGGAGACCACACCAATTAACAGTAACAAGACAATAAATGTTTATCCGAGAATTGAATTTTTTTACAAAATACAATCTCAATAGTTCGAGAAATGTACATTACATAGGTTAATTTATTAGCTCAAACAATTTATAATGCTAAGATATTCCTTCTCTGATGAATAACATTTTATTAGATTTTCATTTTATTTTTTCTGATTTTTAATTCTCGAACTATTTCTAGTACTCTAGTCAAAAAGAGGTAGAAATTTCGACTTCCATAATATTTACATAATATACATACTCCCATGCTATTACTTCCATAATATTTCTTCCATATTATTTACATCTTGTGTATTTTGCTTTACCTTTAAAACTAGTATTTAGAAAAACTAATTTTTTAATCGCAATTATAAAACTTGTTTATTCAACTATAACCCCTATTTTTGATATGTTTTTTTTACAATTTAATTTAATATTGATTGAGTTAATTAAACATTTTAGGATAAGCAATAATTTACATCAAATTGATCTTATGCATTTTCAAATAACAAATGAAAAAAAATGAATAAAATTTTCATTTCTCGGAAATAAATTAACCATTTCATTTGAAAAAAAGTATTTTTCCATCTAAAGTATTCGATTCATGTTCCATTTAAACGTTTGTGTTCGTTTTTAAATTAATTAATGATATAAAAGTAATAAAAAAATATTGAACATTATTTGTTCCGTAGAATTTTTCTTAGATAAAAGATTTTTTGGTAACCAAAAGGAAATTATTGCGACAGTTAGATTGTCCCCAGTTAGATTATTGCGACAATATTTTCTTCTCTTGGATAATAACTGTCTCGTATTTTGATGGTCAAATCTCTTCACCCGATGAAAAAAAGCACGTCTATTGAAAGAATCTAGATTTTTTTATTCCAAATTTTGTAAATTATTTTAATTGATCAGTACCTGGTGCGAGAACCAATGAAATCGTATTTACGTTTTCAAAATATCTGCACTGAGAAAAAAATAAGGTCAAAACTGCCAGAATATGGTAAAATTTATGGTTCCATGGGAATAACAAAAACTCGGTTATTTTTAAAGAAGCATTTTAACAATGATTTTAATAAAATTAAAATAAAATTAACAATAAAATATGATTTCGCAATATGTAATAAAATTTGGTAAATGTGGCAAAATATATTAATCTATCATGTTACCTTATAAGCAGTATTGCATAAAAAAATATTTGTTCGGCTTTTCGTTCAGTTTTATACTTTTGTTACTAAATTTATAAATACATATAAAAAAGGCCTACAATTTTGAAAATCAGAATATCCGGTAAACCGTTATCATATGAACGAAAAAATAGCCACATGAATGGTTTAAATTCCACATGAATTAAAATATCCACATGAATGGTGTAATTTCCCGTGTGCCTAGTAAGTGAAAATAAAATCATTAATTCAAAAATAAATTAACCATTAATTCAAAAATAATTGCATTTCACATTGCTATATAATGTCTAATGCACTGTTTTGTTAAACAAACCTTCAATACATACTTGAGTACTAATATTATAATACTGGTTTTAGAAAGACGCATTCTGAAAGTAGGGTCAAAAGTTTATTTTCTTTACTCCATATGCGTAAAAATATTTTTTTGACAGCAATGAACTTTTATCGATATTTATATTCAATAAACGGTGCAATGCGTGAACTAATGAAATGAAATTTTTTTGCACGCATAACATCGAATTGTATTATTAAACAACCTACAATACTTATTTGAATACTAATATTTTAATACTGGTTTTTGAAAAAACACATTCTGCAAGTAGTTTCAGAAGTTTATTTTCTTTACTCCATATGCGTAAAAAAATTTTTTTTGACAGCAATAATCTTTTATCGATATTCATATTCAATAAAAGGTGCAATGCGTGAACTAAAGAAAGGAAATTTTTTTCGAACGTATAATATCGAACTGTATTACTAAACAACCTACAATACATATTTGAATACAAATATTTTAATACTGGTTTTAAAAAAAACACATTCTGCAAGTAGTTTCAAAAGTTTGTTTTCTTTACTCCATATACGTAAAAAATTCTTTGACAACAATGAACTTTTATCGATATTTGTATTCAATAAAAGGTGCAATGCGTGAACTAATGAAATGAACCTTCTTTGCACGTACAACATCGAACTGTATTATTAAACAACCTACAATACATATTTGAATACTAATATTTTAATACTGGTTTTAAAAAAACACATTCTGCAAGTAATTTCAAAAGTTTATTTTCTTTAATCCATATGCGTAAAAAATTCCTTGACAACAATGGACTTTTATCGATATTTATATTCAATAAAAGGTGCAATGAGTTAACTAATGAAATGAAACTTTTTCGCACGTATATTGCATCTGAACATCAAACTTTTACCTAGAAATAATTACATATCGTTAAATGCATGCAAAAAAAAAACTTTATAAGAATGACTTACCGATTCCGAATCTCTTGTGTCTGTTCCTTCACATAACTTGCATCGATCTAAGAAAGGAAAAGTACTGAAAATTAGATACTTGCACATGAATAATGGATGCAATTTGTATAATACACTCTGAAATCACCAAGAGAACTTTTCCGATTTAGAACACCTGAGAGAGTCGCTTTCAACTGTTTCTAATTTACATAGTAGATAGTAATAGGTTCTATTTATTTAAGTTGTTGTTCGAAAAATCCAATTAATGTAATGAAACTTCAAAAATAAAAGTGTTTCCTGTTTATATTTGAAATCTTTATCACTAACGTTAAAAAGAGATATTATCATTACTTTCTTTCCTGGGAATAAATGAGTTCTTTTTTCTCAGCAAAATTTTTAGAAGTAATGCATGCTAACATTTTGATTAAAAGTTGGATAAATAAATTTTCCGAAATTCTATGGCCCCCTTGAGTCTCTTACTTTAATACAAATTTTTCATTGATTGCGATATTTATAAAGTTTGGAAAATGCAATTTATTACTTTTTTATAATTAAGATGGAATAATTTCATCTTTAATATTAATGGAAGGAAAATCTCAATTGGGAATTCACAAAAAAGTTAAACTATAATTAACAGCATTATTTATTTCAACTTATTAAAAATATGATTGAAAAAGAATATATAGCAAAGCGTAAAAACATTTTGCATGTCTGTTATTCGCAAATCTCTACAGATTTAGAAAATACGTATTTAAATAAATTATAACGATATCAAGAAAAAAAAGTTGAAAGACGCAGGTAATTTCGGATCGTCACAATTTTTAAACGAATTTTGGAAAGTCATTTTTTAAAGATATTTTATTTTTATTTGTACTATGTATGGTACTATGTATGGTATGTGTACTAACGTATGGTAATATTTATAATGTATGATACTAACGTATGATTGGTAATGATATTAGTCTTGTTGATGTTTGGTCTATGTTTTAATTAATATTTGTTCGTAAAATCTGTCTCTTCAATTCAGTTTCATTCGGTAAAACTCTTCATTTTTTGTACAATTGTGTAAAAGGCTGGAAAATTATTGGTTTGGTTCTTTAATTAAACATGAGATTCTATAATTTTCCAACAAAATCATCTTATTTTAAAATTTAATTTATAATATTACTTTAAAGCGCATTTTACTTTAATATATAAACTTGCTAAAATACTTTTTGATATTTATTTATCAAATCCAAATTACTACTCTTATTTGTGTTTCATTTTTTCTGTTTACTGAAAAACGATAAGTGCTGCCACTGTTTATTTTTGGGTGTCGCGCAGAAACTATAAAATAAACATAATTCGAGACAGTGCATTGAGAAATTTACGGGGAAAACGATGGGATAAAAAATATAAGTAGTTTAAGAATTATTAATTGTTAAACTTGTAATAAATTTTGCCACTATGGCCATTTTGCAATTTAGAAAATTGGAGATTAGAAATCGGCGTGGTGAAAGGACCATTTTTAATGGGGAATTCGACCATTAAACACCGAATTATTTTTTTTTAATTTTATTTTATAAGATTGTTGATTTAAGTTTGTTTTTAAACTTTTCTTAATTTCTCTCTACTTCACAACAGGAATACTGATTAATTTTATAAAAACATTTACGGAATTCAATGTCAATTCACAAATATGAGATTCCTTTTTTGCTTAATGCTGGAGTTGAAATCAAAATTAAATTGAAGATATAAAAAAAAACAAGATTTTACATACAAAAATACGAAAGAGTATGTGTTTTTTTTTCATGCCATAGCTGCTTTTTCTTAGAATTCTTTTTCATGTTGATTGCGAATTTTCTTGATTTTTCCCCACGTTATAATAGGAATACTGATTAAATTAATAGAAATTGTTACTGAATTCAGTGACAAGTCACAAATATGAAATTCTATTTTTCTTGATTTCTGAGGTGAAGTCAAAATTTATATTTAAGATATAAGAAATAAGATTTTGCAGACAATAGTACGAAAGAGTACATATTTTTTTTCTTGCCGCAGCTGATTTCTTCTTCTTCTTTTCCTTTGCTGATTATAAATTTTCTCGATTTCTTACTACTTTAAAATAGAGATACTGGTTAATTTCAAAGAAATTTTTATAGAATTCTCCGACAACTTGCATAAATGAAATTGTATATTACTTGATTTTCGAGTTGAAGACAAAATTAAGTCGGAGATATAAAAAAATAAGATCTTACAGTTCCTTAATCCTCTGCTGATGTGGGCAGTCGGAACATCACTCATGTACCGTGTCTTTCGTCCAAATGGGTGGTAGACTCATTCTGAATGCATGACCAAAAATTCAGTGTTTACGTGAAATGTAAATTGAGATTTTGCAATATATGATATAATGAGTTGTAACACTATGTATTAAATGTTTCTATGAAATTGTGCTCAAAGAAGTTGTTTAATCAGTGTTAATGATAAATAAGCATATGTAAATGAAAATTACTTCCTTTTACATGGTTATTTCTATAGACATAAGAACAATTTTTTTTCAAAGTGAATATAACTTCTTAAAACCCCTTACATAAATAGAACTTCACTAAGGTAACCTTTATTATTTATTATTTATTTACAAAATGAAGAGATCAAAACAATAAGTGAATAAATGCATTTACTAGATATTACCAGTTGAATCAATGAAAGATTAAAGTCATGAATCAGAATGGATGAATCAGGTTGTAAACTAATAAAAAAATAGCCTAGAAACATATAATTTCTGTTATGGTAGACAATTGCCAAATCTTTTATATTTATTTTGTTAAATTCAATATTTTTAGGACTGCTATACGCAGCTTTTTCCCTTATTATTTCTAGTTACTCCAATTTAAGATATTATTTTTTAACATTTGTTTCTTAATTAATGTCATTAATTATTTTCTTTTCTTTGAGAAAGAACAATTATTCAAGAACTGACTTATCTACTACTAAAATCAAATTCAACAGAAATAGTACCATAATCTACTCTTGAATATTGAAAAATAAAAAAAATTAAGTTTTAACTAAAATACCTTATTTGGGAACGGTTTTTTCTTCTATTCATATCATGCTCAATTTGTCTTAAGTGTCTTAATTTACTACTAAATAATGATTTGAATACTATTTTTATTTTTGTAAACAAAACAGCTAATTCTATAACAGATTTGTTCTCTAGATACAGATATATATATATGTATAGATACAGTTCTATAGCCCATTGTGCAGCTCTAGTGCGACGTAAATTAACAACAACAACAACAACGATACAGTTCTAGATGTAGATATATATATAGATTTGTTCTCTAAGAATATAAAATTTTAAGCAGACGGTATCTTAATAACATAAATTTCCATAATTCCATAAATTTCAACTACAATCATTTCTAGAGCAAACCTCTTTTGCAATAGAAGAATGATCACATCTTGTTTAACGATCAGGCTTAACAATAATACCTAATAAGACAGAAGAGTGTTTACCTCCGCTATGCAGACGATAAGTAACGCATCTTCCCGTTCCTTATCGTCCATATTCTCTATCAAGTTCTCTAGAGTTGGTATCAAGTAACTTTCGATTGGTCTCTTGACAGTTGGGATCCCCATTACCATGGTAACTATGGAAGAGAACACCATTACAGATCTATTGCCGAGTGATGCATTTCAGATTTATGTTATGTAATTAAGATGCAATGAGATTTTGTTCCATGTTTCATTCAGCGTATTAAATTTTGAATAGTCCATTAAAATTTTACGGTGTTTACTGTTCATGTGATTAAAACAGAGATATTACGAAAGCTAATATTATTTTGCTGTGAAAGAGCCGTGACTCTATTATGTTTTATGTCTTAAAAGATGAGGGAAATGTACTCCAGTTGACTGGATAATGAAGCTGGAAAAGATAATGTAGTTTTCATACCGTTGTTTTTAAAGCAGCCTCAGATTTTGAAATGAGAGAAAACAAAGTATTAAAAACACAATTTTCAATTAGCAGGAAATATTAATAGAAATGAAAAAGAACAACTAAATTTTGTAACAATTTAGAGAGATACATTTTAAACACTTTGTAGTATCCTCTTTTAGGAATCTTTTAGAATTATGTTTGTTATAAAAGATATTTATTACGTCATAAAATACTGAAGGGGTAATTTTTCTTCCATTTTGGATAATTAATGTCACTTTTGCATTTCAGATATGCTCTCTTATATCTTCTGCAGAAACTACTGGATTAGAAATAGTTTTAATTTTAATGTTCATTTATTTATTGCTGAATTTTGAACAACGAAAAATTATGATAGTGATCTGAGATGATTATGCATAAAACCTTAAATGTTAAAGGAAAATACAATTGTATCACTGGAATATTTATTCAGTTATTTGGAAAATATTACATTATAAAGAAAAAACACTTTTTTATTAAATTTTTACTTTAATTAATTACTTGTAAAAAGGTTAAATAAAGCACAATTATTAGAAAATAATAAGAAAGCACATATGCTACCATACAATAATGGAAGAGACACTTTCAGTTTTGGACATTTTTTTGTAAATTTCTCAAGAAATATTTAGAGCACTATTTTGTAACTTTATAGGTGTTTGTTTATGTGATTTTTATTACTTAGCAATAAAGTTTAGAGCTTTCCGAGGTCTGAGAGACTAACAATAAATTACGAAAGAAAACAAATATATTTTATAACAGAAAAAAAATTAGGAATAAACTCGTAGATTGTATCAATTATCTTAGTTGTTATTTGCGATAACTGCATAAAATTTCGTAAACCTAGCCTAACCTATATTTATAGAGATAGGAACATTTTTATTAAAGAAAAACTCATTTATTTCGTTTTTCTTGTTGAAACTTTAAAAATATTCAATAAAATTAAGCAAAGTTTTTAAAGCAAATTTAAAATTAATTACCGAATCATTGTTTTAAAATTTGAAAAAAAAAATAATGTTGAAAACTTTTCAAGATATGAGCATTTAAAGTAACTCATTTGAAAAACGATTTTTTTCTTAACTTTCTAAAAAGTTGTATTTGGCAATTAATGGAAAAGTCTGATTGGAATATATTAAAAATTTAAAAAGTTTCATTCAATTTTGTACTTTTTAACAAGAAGCTCAAAACGATAAGGGGTTTTACAAAAATTTTATTATGGGTAATTATAAGGTTGTGTAGTTTGACAAGCTACAAGATGGAATTTGTGGAAAACCCTTTTTATTATGAGCCTCCTTTTAAAAATACAAAAACTAATTTAATAATTAGTTGAAACTTTTAAAATTTTTAAGTTATTCAAATCAGACTTTTTCCATTACTTGCCGAATACGATTCACTACAAAATTAAGAAGAAAAAAATTTTGTTTCACTCATGCGCTTTATAAATGAGCTACTTTAAATACTCACATCTTATATAATTTTTTAGCAAATTTTCGTCAAATTTTAAAAAAATAATTATGTAATTTATTTTATATAACTCCAAAAATTTTGTTTAATTTTACTGAATATTTTTAAAGTTATATTAAAAAACGGGAAAAAACAGTTTTTGTTTTTTTTAAAATCTCCATACATCTATCTATAAATAAACCAATTTTCAATTAACTTGAGTTACAAGATTATTGCTTGGTTTTCTGGCATAGGGTTTTTTAAAATACTTGTTTCCCTTCGTAATTTATTGGTGGTCCCTCGAACCTGTGAAAACTTTATGCTTTATTGCTAGGTATAAAAAAAATTATAAACTAAACATTTCTAAATTTACAAAATAGTCATCTAAGTATTTCTTAGGAAATTTAAAAAAAAATTCTTAAACTGAAAGTTTTTTTATGCAAGACTTGCAAATGGTAAGTACATTATTTTGAAGGTTGGATAAATGATAAGTAAAAATCTTAAAATACTTGTAAACCAATGTCTTATGGATTTATCTATGGGTACAAAATTTAAGATAACTAAGTAAAATGCTTTATGTTCAAACCCATAAATTCAAACATTATAAAAATAATATTGCTATTACCTTATTATAAAGATGTTAATTTTTATGGCATTCAAGATAAAAATTATTGTAGGGAAGTAATTGAGTCTATTAAATTAGTCTATTAAGAAAAATACACATATCAAATGAAAATTGTAGTGTATGTACAATGGTAAAATGCATGCATTAATTAATAAGTACTACAGTTTTTTTTTTTTTTTTTTTTTTTTTTTTTTTTTTTTTTTTTTTNTTTTTTTTTTTTTGCATAACGCATCCTGGACTGCTTGAGTCTTTCCAGGAAAGATTTATATGCGTCTCACCTTCTCAGTTTTCTGAGGGTCATCGGTCGAATGGATCTTATCTGACTTCGTCATACTATTCGAGGATAAAACACAACAACAGCAGTTTTTTAAAAGTAATTTTTTTGTTTTTCTTTTGGGTGTTACAAATAGAATTTAGAGGGAAAATGCGGGAATTAATTAACAGATAATAAATGAATTCTTTTTTTACTTTAAAGGATATTTCAAAATGGTTTTTATACGAGTTAAATAATAATGTTTAAATAATAATATTTAAAGTCAGAATAAATATTTCATACCTCCAGTTCTAGAACCGGCAATTTTAAATGCTGGTTGTAGTCCATTAAAATTGTTTATGAGATGAGGCAAGTAATGATGTAAAGAAGGCAACTGCAAGTCCAATGTATCATCAAAATCACGTTCTTTTCTACTATTTGCATTGCCAACACCCGTACTGCTGTATTGGACTGCACTATGTTGCTGCCATAACGTTCCTCGTCCCAAGAAAACCCGGAGATTTTGTTTAGGGACACTAGTACGAGTGAAAATGCTTGATGACTGCAAAACATGGTCAAAGCTTTGCCTTAATGAAGTAATATCTCTCAGCCTCTCTTGACTTAGCATTTTTGCATGACGTAGTCGTTCTTTTAGTTGTGCAATTTGGTGTTGGAGGGATATATTTTCAGTAAGATTACCTGCAAATAAATAAAACCTTTTATTTAAATAAAACTCAGCAGATCTATTACATGATTTTAAAACAATCAATACATGAAAGAATATAACAATATGTATGTGTAAACATATATTTAACTATCACGATATATAAGCAATCAGGTTGTATCTATTTAAATATATTTAGAACCATCATAAAGTCAACACATAACTAGTGAAAACTTAGAGAAACATTTACAGAAAAAAAAACAATTAAAGAAAATTAGACAAGCGAAAATGCTATTCTCTAGTAAATTATCTTAGTTCCCTTTCCCAGTTCCAAATTCCCGTTCCTTTAGCATTTTAAGCTGATTTTAAAAGTTAATTTTCGTCCCCCTCCACGAAATTTTTCACCTCACTTCGAGTTCATCTCATTTTCAATTTCTATTGCATGAAACTTTCATATAAATAATCTTTATTAAAATATTTATAATTATTTACCAAGCTATAAAAACTAAGCTAAAAAAGATTTCGAAGATCAAATAGAATTTTAACTTTAACCTCGAAATGTTTTAAATCAGGATCTGGAAAACTTTTAAATAAATAAGGAAATTTGATATCATTCCTCCATTTGATAAACATTAATGTTTTTCATTTTTAATGTTTTTCATTTTTATATTTTTGAATATTCATTTGCATGATGTATTTAATGATATTTTTTAGGCCTTGCATATTTGAATATTGTTTTAATGGCCATGAATTCAAAACTATTTTATGATTCAATTTCTTTTGAATTAAATTGGTTTCAGAATACGCTTGAAAAAGCATCTGAAACATTAACATGCTAAAGAAAAATACTTTTAAATTTGTATTATTTACTTGAAAAGCTTTCGAAGTAAAAAAAAAAGGCATAAAAGTACGTTCTCTATTTGAAAACAAAGGAAGAAAGAAACAGTTACCTTCTACTAAAAATAAGAAAATGGATAAGAAATGAATTTATAAATCACGTATTTCAGTAAGTATTAAAAACCTTTTCTTGATGTTTTCTACTAATCAATTCTGTCGCCTGCAATAAAAACTTCAGTTCAGGAAGTTTTGACTAATTTTAATTTTCATATTTTTAAATTGTTTCTCTTTTTCAATTGCTGCTATTAGTGCACACTCCCCCTATATATATTTATATATCTTGTTCAAATTTTCAATCATAATTAAACTTTTTTATTTAACCACTTAAGTTCAAATACATTTTTTAAAAACTTTTGGTGGATGACACCTGATGTTAATACAGTTTTTTCAAATATTAATTCATTAATTAAATTTAATTTCTCTTATATAAGATATTTAGCTGGATATAAAATTAGGAATAACTACCGTCAGAGGCGAAGCGTGTAGATCACTGGAAAAAAATTCTCCCATATGAAACTAAAATTAATTAATTAAATTTAATTAATTATATTTAATTAATGAATTAATATTTGAAAAAACTATAATTAGAAGGAAATTTGCTTTCTATTTCGCCACTTAATATTGTGATTCAGTCATATGTATATACATATTTATATTAATTGAAATCATTTAATAAAAATAAAATAAAATTTTTCTTTATTGACCTACGTAGGAATTGACTTTAAATTTCTATTTTATATTGCTTGTTTTCAGTCAAAATATTAGTCTCAAAAAGATTTTAAGCATCTTCTGCCGAGGACCTAGGGATAGGATTGCATGAGCGCTCATTGAGCAAGGATTGGATGGCTTTTTTATAAGTGTACGTAAGATTGCTTTACAATTTTTAGAAATAAGAAATAAAATAGCTTATGATTTTTGAGATACTAAATTTCCGCCAGTTTTCAATACGCTTCCAATGCTTTCTCTTTCTGTTATTTGAAATAAACGTTGTGTTGTCATTTATGCCCGCATGCCATGACTTAAGAAATCACACAACACAATATATACTCAGATTGGAATTTCTCTTTGAAAGAAGGAAATAAATGCACATGTTTTCATGTATGGATAGTTTGAGAACGAGCAAAAAATAATATACTTATTTTAGAAGTTAAAATTTTTAACTATTAGTCATTTAAGTATCATAAATAGTAAAGCATTTTAAGTATGTAGTACGCAAGAAAAAAAACCCATTTGCAATTACTTTTCATCTGAACTTCGCGTTCTAGGACTATTCCTAATGATTCGAGAGGATGACCTCAAATATACTAATTAATTAGTTTAGAGAATATTTGAAGTTACGAAATTAGACAAAAAATATATTTTCTCCGAAGAAACATGCCTTAATTTCAACGAATTTGGTTTTCTAATTTTCAAAATATTGGAATAAGCCTCCCTCTGGGAAATATAGTCACAATGGTTTGATCAGGATGGTGGTCTAAAATTTAGTGCCTTTATTGTCAATTTTGCTTTTTCCGGATTTCGCTATATATAGAGAGCTATTTTCTGCATACAATTATAAAATAACTTCGTACAATTATAATTTCAAGCAAAAAATAACTTTTAGTAAATATTTATTACTTATTTTTATTTATTTATTAAAACTTGAAAATTTTTTCAATCGCGAGGAATGAAATTATTTACTTCGCTTTAAGATATGTAATTTTGTATAGCAAAATACTAAATTTAGAAGAAATTGCTCCTTTGAAAACAAGGTATGTTTATGCCGAAAAAGTAAGTTTTGTATCTGATTTTGTAAATGAAAATATCACTAGTTTTAATTAATTAGCATATTTGAGGTCCCTTTCTTGAAGCATTAAAATTGAGTCCAAGAACGTTAAGATCCGATCATTACATCAAAGGTTATTCAGAGTTATCTATTTTTTCGCACTATACACAATATAGAAGTATGTTTGGAGGTGAAAATAATCATGGGAATAAATTTTACAATGTTTAAATTTGAATTATAAATAAAATATTGCAAAATTAACAGATGCGAATGAACGCAAAACAGATACCGAAATTATTTCTTTCAATATTAAACAAAATTGCATGTTTAAAAAACTTGAATAAATATTTTCCTATGTGCTAAGCAACAATTTTCTGTAAAATAAGATAAAAATATTTTGATACAAACTTTGCCTAGATGTTAGATAATTAATAGTATCCTGATTCCAAAGAAAAACATCTTTTCCGCTGTCTTCAGAAATTATGAAAATAAAAGCTAAAACTCTATACGCATTCTCAAATTTAATTAAAGTTTATTCACGGGGAATCTGAGCCGTATTATTATGAAAAAATAATAGATTATAAATAATTGAGTTGCTCACATCTAATTTAATTTCCCATCTAAAAAATAATAGATTTGGTTCTGAGATTTATTTTCTTCCCTTTGAAAAAATCATAAGCTTAGAATTACTCCCGGCTTTACATGTTTAATACGAAAAGAGAGAAAACGTTTTTTTTAAATTTCATTTTGATGCTGAACTCATTTAAACAGAAAATAAAGACATAACATTTGAAAATGAAGAAGTTTTTAAATCTTTGGAAAGAAAATAACAGACAATGCGAAAAAAATGGTAACTCATATTATTATTCTAAATTTAAATCCCTAATAGGTATTTTCAACAAAGTTTCACTGTTCGCATAAATTTTTTTTCTCGAGTTTTTAATATTTCTAGAAAGAATCTTTTGTTTTCTACAAATATAGGAAATGACTTCAGAAAAACTACTTTTTGCTTAACATTGTATGTGAATTTTGCATAATTAATTATCATAATTATTATAATACTATTATTAGTAGCGCGTGCCTTCGGAAAACGAACCGACAGTTTTTAATAATTAAGATATGCAAAACTCTAATCAGGTCTCTGCCTTAATTGCAGATATATAAAACACTAAGAAACGTAGCTAGAGAAAATAAAGTTAGCTACATAGCAATACAACTTATTTGATTTGAAGCTATATACAAGAACAAGACACATAAGGAAGATAAGTTCTGGTTGGCAACTTAATCACAAGTTCATAAGGTTGCTGACTTATCACAACTAAATACATGCTTATAAGCTAGTGCTATTATATTTTCATTTATAAGCCGTAGTGGAACCGCCAATCCAATTCCGAGTTTTTGTCTATCAATTTTCAATTCCGAAGCTTGTTATTTCGAACTCAACCCAGGAGACAGGGAATATCATGGATCAAGCATTTGAAGAAACTAAGACATCGTGCAGTAAGCCCATGACAGAAGGATTCTAACCTATGATCCATCTACCAACAAGAATATTTTAAGTCAGCACTGTGGTCAGTGTGAGCCGGAAGCAGAATTCGCATCGACAAGCCACCGTTGGGATTCGACCATGGGTTAAGTGAAAGCTCTATCCCCTGAGCCACCGCGAATCTCATAAGCTAGTTGAATAATCCAGCTCTTGAAAAAAGACCATTGTCCTTTTGAAATGTGATAGGCTAATTTGAAAGTCTCCAGCATTTTCTAACCAACAGGTTAGTTTGAAGGCTTCCTTCAGTGAGTCCTCATACCTTTAGGTTAATTAGAAATGCTCAGTTAGCATGATTTATTTCAGGAAGTTTTCAATGAGCACAGATAACAGAAAACATAATGTAAATATACTAACTAAGAATTTATCGGCATAAACCAAGAGAAAATAATACCTAATATCTGTAAAAGCCTATTGCCCGAATGTAATATACATAAAAATTATCAGACATTTTGGAAATTACTAATTGTTTTTTTTAAATTAGCTATAAGCATTTTAAACAGTCGCGATAATTGCAAAGAGTGGGATTTTTAATTAGTCTACGAAGCATGCAGAACAAAATTTTACAAATCTTAAACTTAGAGGGTTCGCTTCCCAATGAGGCGAGAAGGAATCGAATCCCACCGTTGCCTGGTTGCTCCTCCTGCTCACACCGACCATAATGCTGGTGTGAAATATCCACCATTGTGGATTAGAATTCATTTGCCATCGAGTTAACTGAGGAAGAATTTCATGGTTTTTCACGCCATGTAAGGCGAATCCCGGTTAGTTTTTTCAAGAAGTCTTTGACAAAAGGCAAATTTCGCCTAACACTTTATCCAGTAGTTCAA